TACAGGGTGACTATTACTCCACAGATTGGAGTCCTGCTTCAAAAACGAGCAAATATTCAGGTACGTCATTTAAGAAAATTCTACTAATACTTGAGCTAGATATCTGCTGTCATCCCAACGAAATATACTATACTTTTACAGGAATTGAAAAGTAAATTTATGGAGACAGTACATTATTACAATATTCAAATGATTTTGTATATTTCTGTTTCCCAGGTGGCCCTCGTGTATTGACCAAGATATCCAGTGGTGACATAAAGGCAAAGGAAGGTGATCTTGTCAACCTACTGTGTTCTGCTCAAGGTGAACTTCCAATTACTTTCAGCTGGGAAAAAGACCAGAAGCCACTGGAAAGTTTCATGGAGAAGGAAAAGCCCCATCGCAGTTCTTTACTTGTTGTAACAGTGAAAGACCGAACAAGTTTTGGGAAATATATTTGTCATATCGAAGATCGATTTCAAAGCACAAATCATACCATTTTGGTCCAAAAACAAGAAGATACAGGTAATCTTTGCTTCTGTCGCTACTTGTGTTAAAATAAATATATCCAAGCCCACAAGAAAATAAGTTATGATGTAGGCTAAACAAGTGAAATATTGTTTAATACATCGTAATATTCTTAATCCTTCCAAATTTCAGGCAACGATGAAAATAATGATGGTGGCGATAAATATCTTGTAATTGGAATTATAGTTTTAGCAATTCTGCTGGTCATTTCATTCGTGATTATTGCTTATTTCATCTACCAAATACGTCGACTAAAATTATCAAAGGCAAACCCGGAAAACAAGAGCAAGGACAGAAATAATTCAAAAGATATTTATGAAAATCCTGACAAAGTCAAAGATGATGCGAATTATGAACAAGTGGAAAATGAAGAGTCGACGTATACAGCTCTCAATAGGACTGGGAAGGACAAAAATGATGATCACTTCTATGCCCATCTAAATGAAGTACACACGGATTACGTAAATCAGAAGGAAACTGGAATCTAAGGGGGGGGGGGGGACTCTGGTCAGAAGCCCGTTTGATTTTATATCTGGTGGATAAGCTCAGTATAGAAAAACAAGTAGGCATGCATACAGTCGCCAAACTAAATCTTTACGACTTGAATAGAAAAGTACCAATCAGTATTAATGACTTAGACTGTTATCATTATATCCGAAATACATTAACTGTAATCTATAACTTTGTTTACATTGCAAACTAGGTATGGCCTGATCCTTGCTCTGGCCTACATTTTGGTAGAGTGAACGAACTTTGCCGTAGCCTAGTTATAATTACCCTCTTCAAACTTTTGTTCAGTTTGACGTAATTCTACACCTTCCTATATTCATTAGTACTAGTCATGCGTTTTTATGCGTTCACTTTTC